TAAAAACATACATGCCCCCAAACACATGGTCAGTGATTGTTAGATAAAGGCAGAGAAGATAAAGTTCACCAAATGAGACACCCACCTTTCTAATGTAATCCAAAATGGCCTCGTCAGTAACCTTGTTTCCATCTTGTCCAGTAACATTAAAAACTGGTACAATAAAATAAATTACTCGATTTTTCAACCCCCATCCAGAACTTATGGTTAACAATGTATTTGTAATAAAAATGAAATAATATCAAAGAAAATTATTACCATCCATGAACCATCCACCATCAGAAGATATGTAAGCCTTGGTTATGATGAGGTTTAGATCAGTGAGGATCTGTACAACTTCAAGAAGTATTCCATGCTTGTTTGCACTATCAACCTGCAAAATTAAATTAACTTTCAACAACCCATCAAATAAAAGTGTTATCAAACCAGGCAAAAGTTCTTCAATCATAGAAGCATGAATTGCAGTCCAGAAAGGGAAGAAGAACTAGAAAACATTTAAAAAGGAGAAATAGGCATAGGCATACCCGTATAACAGTGGCATTCTTGCAGGATTCATTATCGATTACAACCCTGACAAGACAAGACAACATGTGGACAAATATGTGAAGACGGAATCATTTAAATTCTCTATCCTTTTCCCTTTGTTTTCCAAAGTCGAAGACTTATTTTCTTTCATCAAATGGGAAGTGAAAATTGGTACCTGGGAGGGTTCATTCTCCGGAAGAGTTTTTCGTATTCATCATCCATGTAGTGAGAGAAGCTCATGTTGACCTCCGACATAAAAGCTATGAGAGAGAAAACAAACCAATCAGATGACGAAACATGGCAATAACAGAACCCCCATAGCCAATGAGAATCAAAAGCAAGACCAATAAATATATACAGAGAGAGAGAGAGAGAAGACAATGATGGAAAAAACCTCTTTGCAAAATACTAAAACACAGCACAGTGTGAGAGAGAGAGAAAGAGTATAAGAGCTGGGGACAAGAGGCTGAGGTGGGTAAAAGAGAGTGGCCAGTGGTAAAGAGATGAATAAACACAAAAGAATAACCGAGCAATGAAGAAAACCAGAACCCAAAAAAGTCGTTTGGTACGAATAAGCCTCGTGCTGTATGATTAGCTGTTAATATGCTAAAAGAAGGAATCACAAAACAGAACCCATTAGGACAATGAAACCATGTGAACAATAATCCACCACACACACCTCTTAGTCAGAGAGAGAGAAAGCTCGTAGATTATGGAAACAAAGAAGAAGAAGAAGTAAATACTCGCCCCAAATCAACACGGTTCAACTAATTGGTTACTCAGAGTGAAAGCCTTAAAATTTCACAACAAAACAGAAAACACAGAATTGTACACAACATATCTTGCCACCCAATTGCAGACACAATTCCTCTCCCCCAAAACAAACATAGAGATTCACAAAACCCAGAAAGCAAAAAAAGGAGGGAAACAAAAACAAAAAAGAACAAAACTTCAGAATGCCCAAAACAAAGAAACAAGATTCCAAGAACAAAGCACGAGAAACCCATAACAAATCAAAAGAAAAAAAAAACAACACCACGAACACGACCTACCCATTGCAGTTTCTGAGGATTCGTGATCTGCCACACAACACCACACCAAAATTTCGTAGATTCTCTCTCTTGCAAACAAAGTGGCTCTGCGGATTTGTTGTTGGTACGAAGCAACAAACAGTACATATATATAATAATAATACGCATAAATATGAGCGTGTTTATATGAATATAATAATATGAACACCCCACAGGGATCTCACACCCGCACCTTCAATCTTCTCTCTATAACTTTGGAAAGAAAAAGTAATTTAAGTAATTATAAATTATCATAACAGTAAAATAATAGTTTTTTTTTCAATATAAAAAATTATTAACCAGAAAAATGAAAAAAAAAGACCCCTCTAATAAAATCAGAACCTCCCCGACACGATGCTCCAAAACCTGCAAATCCGAAAAGTACCCAAAAAAATCGCAAACTCTCTTTCCTTTTTTTTTTTTTTTTCTTTCTTTCTCTCTGTCTGTCACCTTCTCTCTCTTTCTCTTACCCGTTTCTGTTACTATTGGAAAACAGTATTATGTGTCGCTATTTATAATTTTATATTATTTGGCCAAAAAGTGTAGAGGGGAAGAAAAAGAGCCCCGGTGCATGTTAGCAAGGCGGGTTGTTTTTAGGGGGTCCTGCTAGAGTGCACGTAACGATGAATGAACATGTGTGACGCGAATGAATGAATAAATAGTGGATTTAGTTTAACTGTTTGATTGAGTTGAGTTCTAATTTCTTAAATTTTTTTGTAAAATAAATATTTGAAATAGGTTGTCAAAAGTATAAAAATAAATCTATTTCATGACGTTACTTAGAATAGAATAATTCGTGTATTATTAATGTAACCCTTTACATAATTAATCAATTATGAATTAAAGTAACTGATTTTTAAAGTATTTCATGTATATTTAAAAGTTTAGTATCATTCAAATATTGGATTAATGATGATTTATAACTTTTTTTAATTTAATGATGCATTTTTTAGTTAAGGATAACATGAAACTAATGTTATGTTGATTTTATCATTGATCTTAATGATTTTTTTAGAGAATTTGAAGTTAAAGTAAAATAAGAATTTAGGTTACATCAATTTTCACTTAATATATGTTTAAATCTATCTCAAAGTTTTATATTATTTCTGACAAAAAAATAATTTATAAACGAAATTTCAATAAGATTTATAAAACTTTTTATTATCTTATTTTGGTATTGTATGAAATGTGTTCATCTTAGTGTTTATTAGGAAGATTTCATAAAATTTCGTCAGCATCAAATATTTCTTGAAGAATAAGGTAAACTTGTTACGTCAGCATGCATCTTAACATGTCTTTTTGTCATTAGAAAGGTTATCTATTGTGTATGGTTTTATGGTTTATTCTTATTTGAGTGAAAACTCTTAAACCTAGGTCTAATAAATTAAGTCATCTATAAGGATATGGCTTAAAGAAGATATAAATGTTTAATGCAACATGGAGTGTGTTTAATGTTACATGGACTGCGTTTCATGCTACATGGAGTGCATTTAATGCATCTTCAGTTCTTCACATGAATAAACGAAAGCTTTAAGGTGAAGATTCTAGTTAAAGCTTCTCAACAGGCTAAAAAGAACACTCTATAGAATGTAATCTTCTAAGTTAAATAAAAATAAGAGGTGATTTAGAGTTGTTGGAATGCTATCAATATTCTCACTAAGTTTTATGAGTCCTAAGCTTCACAAGAACATTTTTTGTGCTCAATAGCAAACTAAAAGAGTGTATAAGCCATATATCTGTCAAAAGGTGCTAACTCTCCATATATTAAGCAAAACCTCGTGATCGTTTAGATCAATCAAGCCTTTTTGTCATGAGTGGTTATGTTTCAAAAAATACTCAAGTCGTAGCCAAGAGAAGTTGTGTTCCAAACAATATTTGGGTTGTGTAGCCACTCCATTCAATACTTAGGTTGTCTATTTACGAGTGTTTATAATTCAAACATTACTTTAAGTTACTAGCAAGGAGTGGTTGAGTGTTCAAATAATACTTAACTATCTAGCTAATAGTGATTGAGTTTCAAATAATACTTTGTAGTATCTTTGTAGCATTAGTCTGCCTAGCGAAACTTGATCGGTTGATTAAAAATTGGACTTAGTCTGCTTGAACAGATGAACCGATATAAAAATCTTTAGTATAAATCCTTCTTCTATTTAAGCTCAGTTAAATTACATGTTATTAAATTTATCCTAACAAAATAAGGATAGCCTTTTAAAAAATAAAGTTTTAGGAAAATTTTGACAAATCATTTATTGCCTTAAAAACGTGTGTTTGTCCACACTTCATCATATGCATCTTTCAAAAAATTTAATAAACAATTCAACTCACTTTTATTGTGTATTTGACTTGTTTTTCACAAACATCGAGCCTAAACTCAAACAAACCATATTCCTAAGAATTACAACTCAATACAAGATTAATTACA